TTTAAGGATATCAGGACCTAAGCCGGGCATTCATAAGAATACCGTTATTGTAAAGTATGTTTCATTCATTTTATTTTATTTTTTTTTCTAGTGTAAGTTATATTTATTTTTTAAGGAATATAATAAAAAAAAGGGTGTTATAAAGGATCTGAAGTTTCTTCTTTTTGCCAACGTTATTATTTTATTAAGAAATCAACATTATTGCGCAAGTTATATAGTTAATAATTATAAATAGAATTACAAACAATAAAAAACAAAAATTAATTTTTTTTACATGCCTAGAATGAGACATTTCTTAGAATAATATTCATCGTACAAACACACAAAACGTAAATTTAATCTGGTTTGGTCGGTATTGATTAGAAATAAAAAAGATACAAGTACAGTTACCAATAGTTAAAGATGTATTCTGTTATTTTGTTACAATAATTTTCGGTTCGATAGATAATCTTTTCAATTTCCTTATAATGCGTAATACCTGATAAGACATCGAGGGTGAAAGTGACGTAATTTGAAAGGAATCTTCTTTTCCTACAGAATTTGCTAAGTAATGCGTTTAGAGAGCTGACGACGACGGGTCGTCCACTTGGATATGATCATCTTCGTGCATGCGTCATCTTACGACGATCGATAAATCAATTGGTCGATCAAGATATCTTCAGAGTCTTAGATCGATGCGAGAAAAGATATTTATTCGTCGTAATGTCGGGGATGACCGATGGGTCAATCGCATGTAAATCATTGGAACAGGAAACTTGTTTTCTGTTTCTGATTGTCCCTTTGTTGATATCAATATTTTTATGCGAAATTCTTATTTTTTTATGGGTCATAAGGAATAATAATATTACTTGTTTTTGTAATATATTTGTGATGGTAATTATGACCGTGGACTAACAATAAGTCAAAAAATAGTAAACGTTTATTTTAGATTTAATTCTTTTTTTTTAAAGAATGTAGAAAAGTTTAGAAAGATAAAGATACAAATATGTGCAGTTAAATGACTATGTAAAGTTGGCAAATAAACTTTCTTTTATTTTTGTCGATTTTGTTAATGGATTTAGGACTGGATCGATGATTTATGGTACCCCTAGGAAAATTTGGTTTTCAATTTTCGAGTACTTTTTTTATTTTAAATTTTGATTAAAATGAATGAAACTAGAAACTTTCAACTTTTAAATTATATCCTTTCTGTTTTAAGGTAGCTTTGTATATTAACATTTTAATTCTGTTATAAAAATACAATTTTAACAGTTATTTTATATTGTGTTTGGTTAATAAACGTTTTTGAAGGAACATTTTATAAAAATAAATATTACATCAGAAATAATTGAAACTGTTAAGTTTCCTTCATAAATCTTGATTGCGACTGTGTAACATGGATGAATTCTCGGTGACGTTTTATGTCGTGTCATCGAATGTCACTGCACGAAAGCAATGGGGCAATGTCTCCTACCATGACCTACTGACACGAAAACAATGAAAATACCTCGTAACTTGTGAGACCGATATTTCGAATCTCTCGTCGTAATCGCGACGATCGTGCCATCACTAGCGAAAAATACTCACCATATACTTTCATTTCGTATGATATCATCAATATTCATAACTTTTTGAATGAATATTTTTCCTCAAAATGATTATAAATTCACCGTGAATACAAATATGTTTAATTAAACGATAAGCAGATCCCCACGTTGGTAATAAATAGATTAACACCTCAATTTAACGCTGTATTTTATTAAACGCGAATTTTGTTCATATGCAGTGAATCATTTTCTTACGTTTGCGCTGATTTTTACACGCGATCAGATTTTTTTATAATATTTTATTTTTTTCATATAAGTTCTATGTCAAACATTTGAGACAAAAAGTTATTAGCAATCACACACTAAGATAATAATTTATTCAAACATTCGAGAGGAGAAGTTTATTTTTTTTTTTATTACAATATTAAACATCGTTGTCGATTTATTTATTTATTACTTTTTTAATTTTTATTATTACTCTTTCTTTAATATTGTAATAATTAATTTTAATTATTTTTAATTAATATTTTTTTCTCGTATTAGTTGGACTCCATTTACATAGTCTTATTTTAAACGGTCAACAAATTCATTTTATTCATTTGTCTTACGTCAAACGTTTGAAGCAAAACATAATTAATATTCAAATATGACGCATATTAATATAATACTTAACGGGTGTATTATTATTTTTATAGCTTTCTTCGTTTCCAGGAATTTTTAAAAGAATTAATTAGAAATATATTGTCAAGTTTTTAATAATTTGATTAAATTAATGTCAATTTTTGTCTGGTTTTACTACCGTTCTTAGAAATTTTACTTTCGTAAATATTTTACGACCCATTCTAGGATATTAGCATCGAAAAACAGAGATTACGTGAGTCACCTGTTAAGCGGTGAAAATAAAAATAAATTAAAAAGATTGTTTATTTTGAATAACAGTACTGAATTCCATTTTATTCGATATATATCGATATATCTATCTCGATATGTGTATTATTCATAATAAGAGTATATACATAATAAGGTATATCGGGAAAATATAAATTGTTTATATTTTATAAATATATCTTAGAAGTATATAATTTAAATATATTTCAAATTACATGTTATAATATATATTTTTACAAATATACTTATTTCAACGAGAGTAATAACCTCTTTTTTCTAATAAACGCTCATTAATCGAATTATTAGTATCAATCAAAGTTGGTAATAATTTTTCTAGATATTTTTTCCTTTTTTTATCGACTCTGACTGAGAAATGACGTTTTCTGCGTATTAACGTTCTAATACTTCGTAATACGAGTTAAATGTATTTTAATTGATGGATAATTCGCATTGTTTTCTTTTATAATTACAAGTCGCTTCGCTTTTGTCGCCAAAGTAATGCGATTAGAACTTTACGACGACTGCAAGCGTAATTAAAATCTACTTCATATGCATTCCTTTCACTTTTATGGAATTCTCGTTGGAATACCAAACGACCGCGACGATATTAGAAATCAAGAACCATTAGAAAGTAACATTGAAACGAAACAAAAATTATCTTCCTTGTAAAAGTTCTTCTAATCTGATTGTGAGACGAATAATCTTAAAAAGAAAGAGCCGTGAAATCTTTCAAATGCGTGATATCGTTGACTTTATTATAGTTTGCGAACAGAGGCGGCGGCTCGTGTATTGGCACTGTAACACTATGATAATACAGTAAACCGAATCTTTCTTGATAAATTGAATTATCGTAAGAATTTATTCCAATTAATATTTTTATCATAAAATTGAGATTCATCATTTATCTGAACATTATTTCTTATATTTCTATTAACTATATTAAACTAGTATTTATATAAAGAAGATTCTACTGTAATCAATTTCCCAATTTTATCGAATCTTTACAGTATTTTATCTATTTTTATTTTCTAAATAATAGTAAAATACTATGCTCTGTATTAAGAAACGAATAAAATCTCAATAAAATAATGAGTTATAAATTTTCTATAAATTTAAATAGATCTAGAATACACGAGTTTTGAACCAAAAAAAATGTAAAATTGTTGTACATTATAGAAGAAAATCATTCGAAGCCAGTGCAATTATAATGAACTGTGACTCCTTTCTAAGTTACCGCAAATATGTCAATTTCATTCACATTTCTATTCTGACCACTACTTATGTTGCATACGAAGGATTGAGTATTCAACCGTTTGAAATATAAATAATAAAGAATAAGTGTTTGACTGTCGTAAAATACCGTTGACATCTATTTTCCTTCTTTTGGGAAAACTAACCATCCCTGACACACATTTGATTCGCAACGTACGTATGGTACTTTACTTCGGCAGTGAATATTTATATATGAATACGTTTAAAATTAAAATTAGTCCAGGGCCAACGTTGAAATTTAAATAAAACTACATTTACGATATGTCATTAAATACAAAAACATATCTATTACGCAATTGCAAAATTCCTTGAAAAACAAAATTCTTCTACATAAGTTTGTCAATAGTAATTATGACAATAGATTGAATCATAATATGCAAACATTATTATTTTACGATTTATTTATTATATTTTTTATTTAGTCCACTGTCATAATAATTGGCATGCATATTTAACATTTATTGTTTTTTTTTTTGCTTTTTTAAGTGATTTCAATGGCCAAGACAGTGATTTCGATGCTTGGTAAGCAATATTCTTCAAAGTGGATTAAAGTATGTACATCTCCGTGACACAGAACAAGGTGTAATTCGGTAAATGTAACGGATAATCGAAGTTTCAACGTACTTCGAAGAAAAGATATGTGAGCCAACATGAAGTAAACCTCAGAAATAACGGAACAGTAAGACATTTCACAGTCAAGACAAACTACAACATAGGTTTGAGATCGTGTAGAAAGAATAATTGCGTTGGTATACAGTCGCGGAAGTTTGGTATATTTTTCTATGTATACCCTAGATCTATATGTTTCTATGTATGTGTTTGAACATATGTTATCATTAAAACATGAAATCCGTTCATTCATGAAATAACTATACCGATATTTTTATATTTATTGATTTATTACTATCTTACAAAAATAATACTATGTTATGAAATTATGACTATTATATTATGACAACTTTAGTAACTGTAATAATGTAATTATAGTAATAATAATAATAAGAATAATATTAATCGCATCACAGTTATGTGACACTCTTTAATCATAAAAGTCTTTAAATTCGACTCTTAAAAACCACAGTTATTTTTACACTATTTCAATATCGAATTTAACCACAAAATTGAGTTACTTCCACGTGTCACGATGTAATTATAAATACTTTACACACGACGTTAATAAAAAGAAAATTTTGTTTCATCATTTTTAACTTAATATCGTTGGAAATATAAAACAGATTGCATATACGCGTACATATTAATTGCACGTAATCTCTTCTTTTAACGATAAATTAATTTTATCTTCTTTGTTTGCAGATGGCGGGGTTCTGTTTACAAATTAATTTGGCGGGAATTACTGGCCTACCTCTTTGTATACTACCTCATCAATTTTACATATCGATATGCGCTCAACGAGCAGCAACGTGCGTGAGTATATGAATTCTTTATCGAATTGAAAACATTTATACGTGAACATTTTTTTCTTTTCTCATCTTTTATATTAACAATATATTCTTATATTTGCTTAGAGAAAAAGTTTCTTAATATTTTAATGCAAAAATGAAACAAATTTTTTGTTATATTTCAAATCAAGTATATTAAACCAAATATGTACCAAATATGAATCAATATATGATATTCTGTTCAAATATGTGAAAACAAAATATCATTTTCGTAAACTGCTAAATATTTTGCTTTTAATTTATTTCTTTTTCTGATTAGAAAACATTACTGTCTGGATCGTCAATTTGCATTAAAAAAAATATTAATTATTTGAAACCATCACAATGGCTATATTACAACGAGTAAATTTCTTTATAAATGTTCGAGTATGGATCGTGAATAAGCGTAATCGTTAATCAATTTGGTGCTCGTTACGATGCAAAAGTCGATGATTCGTCGAGGATCGGCAATGATTCGTGCGCGTGTGTAATTCTCTACGTGTGTCCGCCACAAACATACTTTTTATGGGCGCAAATAAAATGACTCTCGATCAGCCTTGTATTGGCAACAAAATCCGAAGGTTTCGAGTGTTTTGATCACGTTTCATTCTTAACAGGGTTTTCCTTTTTTAATTTATGAGCAAATCTTTATTTATTTATGAAGTGAAACTTCTTTTAGGGAGGGTAATGAGAATTTTCAAATCAAATAAAAAGTGAAAGGTTTTGGAGGGGAGCGCGTTATTTGAGTGGTGGGGGAAAAACGAGGAAATATCGATCGGGCAAATGAAATAAATATTTAAAGTATTATGTGTGTGCACAAATACTTGTACAAATACTTGTAAACCTTCAGGACCAATCGCTCTTTATTTTCCATATTGTAAGAGATTATAGGATAGTATATATACGTCCATGGTGTTCATGTGTGTATGTGTATTAGCGTTAAGAGTTTATCCGTTTTATATATATATATATAGATATATATAATATTAATTTATGACTTGTTCCTGATGTGTCCAAGTAATAGCGTCCATAATAATATTCATATTAATCATATACAGGGTGTAACAGAATAAGTGAGAAATACTTTAGGGATAGCTTTAGCACATCATTTACATTCATAAGAGGTGTTCAAAATGATCTCCTTGTACCTGCACATAATCTTGCAGTCGTCTTACAAGGAATTGCCTCATTTTTTCCATATTTCATTGCTCGGATATACTTGAAGCTTTGTTCAATTCTTTCACGAAGTATTTTCTCACTATCTATGGGCCTTTTATACAAGTGAAAATCTAACGGATCCAAATTGGATGAGCTGCATTTCTACCTAATAACTGGACAGTTTTTAAACAAACGATTTCTAAACAAGTGGATCTTTGGTCGTCCTATTGCTTTAGAATCGATTACAATCGCTATAAAAGTTTTCACTTCGGTCATGTTGTCCTAAGCACACACTCACGTTTTTTTCTTTTTTATTTGTTCATTTAACACTTCAACTTGGAATTTCTTTAAGCTCCTTTTTTACGAATTCTCCTTTTCGCGTTTTATTTGATTTCACGTTTCCGGTTCTGTTAACCTAGCTTGTACTATTGCGAGTTGTAACTAATCTCGTACGAGTAAATTTCATTAAGAATTCGCAGTATCGCGTTGTCTACCTAAGAAAGATGAAGTGAAAAAACAAATACTACTTTCAAAAGTCTTTGAGACCAGAAGAAAGGAAGAACACTTCACAGATATTTTACTTCTTTCTTTGCGCGAGGCAACGAATAAAAATGAACGGTGCAGCAGTTCGAAAGCGTAGAGTTGCAACTAATTGTAAGTTAGACATGCTTTGGATCGAGTATGCGAATGTTGAGGAGAGCAAACGTTCGTCTATCTGTATTATTATAATATGTTTTCTATATTAAGAAAAGAAAATTACTAACCAAAAAATTTAAAATATTATCAAATTTTACAATTAGAGATATGCATATCATATATACGGGTCAAACCTATATCAGGTTTTAATCAGGATAAAAAGATCAAGTAAGTTTAAATGAATCAGGAGTACTCAACGTTTTCCTTTGTTGGTCACATACGTCTGTTTCTTACATGAAACGGGCCGCAACATTGGCTCTGCAAACGATACTGGATGTACCACGGTTAGAAAAGATGATTTAAGAAATTGATGATTAAATAAAAATGGTCATCGCGAATAGGAAACGAGTATCTTCTTCAAATTTATTCAAACTTATGTATATTTGACATTATTTTATTATTTAAACATTAATGTTATCTTTAGTATTAGCTCAAATTCGTACCGATTTTTCTAAAAATAGATTTCTCTATTTTTTCAATTTGAATATTATATATACATTTTTTAAATACAGAAATTTGTGTATTACATCATGTATATCGTACGATCGTTGGATTGCCACATGTGAAACAACAAAGCGGATGTAAGAAATCTAAGGAAAAAGCGAAATCTGCATAATTTTAAAATTTATTCTGTTTGCTTGTATTTTTCCAGGAACTAACTTCACGAAAACGTACAATTTAACTAATCGAAAATTTATAACTAACATTTCTTCATCTGAATAAACGTCTACACACGCACCTATTTATCTCAATTATTTTTAACAAATAGGTAAAATATTGCAGGAATTAAATACAAGATTCTAGACTTTTTCCAAAATTATTTAAACTATATAAATGTGCTACATTATGATTGCCACGTATTGAGCAACAAAGCGAATGTAAAAAATCTGCTTGATTTTCAAATTGATTTGTTTTGTCAGTGCTTTTTGAACTTCACGAAAGTATACAATGTAGGTAGTCGATAATTCATTGAAAACATTTCTTTATTTGAATGAATGTATACACATAAACACACATTCATATCCTTCGGAAGATGATAGGCCCGTAGATAATCAAAGCGGAGATCGGTTACCCTTCGTGGGCGAAGTTTATGCAAATAGAAGAACATTAAACGGTAGTTATGAACGTGACACGCTTTTACGGACAGGAAATAAGTGCGTAAATACGTATTAGCTTGTGCAGTCTCTTTCACAAATCTGCTACATAGGAAAAATCTTTCCTAACGGTTCACTTGGTTTCCAATTCCCGGAATAATGCGGTAAGAATTATTAATGCTAAAAATAGTAGGTAAGTTTATCTTATTCGATCGTACATCAAACGATTCGTCATTCAGTAGTCATGCAATTTTGAAAACTTTCGTAATCTTTACAAAACGTAATTACATAAGAAAAAAAAAATAAAATTATACGTTTCGTGGAAACGTTGACGCGTAAATAATTCTGAAAATTATTGAAAATAACCGAGGATTTAAATAATACGAAAGTTTAATTTACTCAAAAAAGAAAAATCCAATTTACTTCACGCACGCCCTATATAAGATAAAAAACCGTACGTGTGTGCGCGCGCGCAGGAGGGAGAAACACTGAGAGAGAGAGAGAGAAAACGAAAGGCTTAACGTATGATATTTCATACGTGCCGAGGAGTTAAACGTGCTTGGCATTAAAAAACGCATAAAACGTAACCTGTTATTTATGCCAGGCTAAAAGAGGAGAGGAGAAGAGAAAAGAATAAGAAGAAGAAAGGAAGGAAGAAGAGGGTGATGCAAAGAAAAAAAAAGATCGACCGGTTAAAATCGTTTCGATTCGTCCCTTCTAAATTTAGAAACCGTAGAGCTGGTTTAAAGTCTGCTTTTTAGGGTCTCGTACTAAAAGAAAGTAAAAAGAAACGATAAGGGGATTCTCTCGTAACAAAAGGAACTAAACGAACAAGACAGGTTACTCGTGGTGTGATGCATCCGAAAGATCGCATGATCGCTTATTGTTGCATTTGCGGAACGTTCGATTCAATTTAATTTCTTTTTTTCATCTTTTTTTTCTTGTTTTTCTTGTTTTTCTTCTTTGTTTTTTATTTCTTCGCTACATTTCTCAAATGATTATCGATGAATAGTGACTTTTCTTGACGTTCGTCATTTTGCAACAACCACCACGAAGTTATTTATATGGACATGTTATTTTGATGACTAATGATTCATGGGTAACGTTCAATCAACAACACAGTTCAGCTGTACGAATAGAATTTTGTTATCCTCGGGAATTCCAGAATATTCAGAATCGGTTGATTATCAGGTTAAATTATATTGATGAATTGAGTAAAAATCGTTTAGGTGTTAACGTGAGAATTCGTTAGAACGAAACATCATTTTTGTTACCTCTTGTTGATGATAGCAATTGATGATGATTTATGATTATTCGTCTGATCAAAAGAAATTTTTTCATTGAGAATCAATAATTTATATATATATATTTATATTATATATTATTATATTATATTTAATAAGTCATTCCTAGAAATAGCAATAAAAAAAAGCTATTATAACAGGATAATGTCCTAATAAAATGAAGAAGAAGAAGAAGAAGAAGATACTTTATTTAATACTTTGCGAGAGATGAATCGAGCGAAGAAAAAAAGTATAATTTTTATTACTCGTTAATTAACTGATAAGTATTTCAAAACAAAATTATCCAAAAGGATTGTATATAAATTTTTATTCATTTAGT